TACTCAAATATTTTGCACCCGATTGTTGGGAACTGCGAAAAAGGATCCGGTAGGTTGAGTGATCCGACATGAGGCAGCGCAAATTTTAGGCGCTAGGAGTCAATCAGTACCTTAGGTCCACAGCGAGTGGCAATAAACAGCCGAATAACGTCATAGCTTGAAGGATTCATAGAGTGCACAAGCTGTATTCAAGTATTGGCCAGAAGATTGCAAAGAAGCACTGGGCAGTTGAAAACGCTGTAATACTTGATCCCACAATACGACCATTATTCCTGTTTCCAACTTCATTGAAAGTAGTCCATGAGCCTGTTGTCGACACTTTGTTATTTGGAATGTCACCCAAGACTTGTTTTATTGCAGAAATGCCTACACTGACAGAACTCACAACACGAAAAACTATCAGCCCATTCTAACTTAGTTGACATTCCATACCGCTCAAAATACTGCATACTCACAGTTTTACGCCTATCCTTGCGATCCATAGTAATAACCGAATCATCCCCATCCAAATAAATGGATCCACGGATACCACAACTACTCAGATATTGTTTCAACATTGCGTAATTCAGCAATGAATTACCCAAACCAGTATTCTGATCGCCGGAGCACCTAGTTCCTGGGGTGAAATACTTCAACCCATTCACCGTACTACCACGATTATGCAGTTGCATCTTCAGCAACTTCCGTAACTCAGCAGGCCACTGAAAGCACTTCTCATACAACCAGTGCTCCTGCTTGAGCAGCCCAATGCCCACATGGGCATCAAACTTACTATGGTCTAACAACATCCACACAGGATCGGCATATCTCTTGGCATGGTCAACCAAGTCCGCGGCTCGTTGATCTTGATTACGACCGTTCGCGAATATCCTATCACCATTATGATCCACCTTCGCATACACCATTGCTTCCACTGGATGTAGGTAGCTACCAAGCGATAATCCATACCGTTTATTCCGATACTGTATGCACCTTGGTGCCTTATAACTCCCGCTAGGGTACTTATCATCCTTTAAAAACATCCTAACCCTCCCATCAAACTTGCTAATCTGGTTAAACTGTAAATCCACCCGCGCACGTTCCATTTCCCTTTGTTTCGCTCCCTTATAGTATGCCACTACCCGCTCCTCATCCCAAGGAGTGAGTGGCTGTATGAAGTCCCTAAGATGCCTTCGTAAGCCACGACAACTGGCCAAATCAGGGGTTGGACCCTGCACCTGGTGACGGCTCAATAACGCAACACGCTCATTACAAGAACAAGCGGTATGCGTATACACATCCCTCTTCACCAGGTACATCCACTAACTGTCGTGTTTCCCTCTTACCACAATCCACATAAACTACCCGAGACGGAGTCCGTATCCAAGACCCCTTAATAAGAGGTTGTACATCACTATACCCCCTCATACAAAGGGCCGGGATGACTCGGATGTCCTATGCGGACTTTCTGGGCAATTGATAGCTTTTATGAGCTATATTAACCCACCGAGTGCCTAGCTTTCCTTGCTGGAGCATCTCAGCTTGCTTGTGAACAGC